TAAGATGGTTACATATATGTTTATTGTCAACCTGCAGTTTGGCATTTGAAATTGTCTTTCTCAATTAAGAGCATAATTTTCAGATTATGAAATCAAGATAGTTCATCTTGATGATGCTGGTTGATATCCAAGCAAGTTTAGCATTGAATACCTTCTATTAATGGCTAAACTATTGCTTATGAGAACAAAGTCTCATGTGTTGGTCTAAGATTTTCTAAATTGTATACAACAACATTTGTATGCATCAGACCAACAAAATATGATAAGTCCTCCCCTCACAATTAGTTTAGGATTAGAAACCAATTTTTTTTACTATCTAATAACTTTTGATATGTGGTATATGATTAATTTCTCTACCACAATGCACAAAGATATGTTTCTCAAAGAAGATTGAGGATATGGGTTAGTTTTTCTAACATTTGGGGGGTGGAATAAACAGCTCCAAAATATGCTATATGAATCGAATTATCATTAATATGATCCTCACTTAGAAGATAATTCAAGTCAAATGCCAGAAGCATTTGCTGATCCAAAATTAAATATCATATTTTAGCTGCAAATGCTCCTATTAAAATTAAAGTCCCTGAAGGATAAAGTTTACTGCACGCATTAAGCGTAGTAAACCGATCGGTTCCAAAATTAACAATCCTTGAAAAATAATAGGAGCAAATGATCATAATAAGGAGGAAATAAGCTCTGGAAGAGCCCACGACATAACATTTCATGAAACTTCAGAAGAAGTTCAAGTACCTGAAAATAAAGAAAGTGATGAGATCTCAACAAGTTATGTCGCTTGCGAACTGATACGAAATGATCGTCGACGATATATTTGATACAATATAGTGCACAATATTGTAAAAGATTGTGAGGATTAGACATGTAGTCCAGACACCTGAAGATGTCATGGCATTTAAATATAATTCATGACTTATATGACTCATTTGATTAATTCTATATGAAGATCCCTGAAGGATTTAAAATGCCTGAAGCAAATTTAAAATCTCGGAAAATGTATTCAATCATATTACAAATATCTTTGTACGGTTAAAAGCAATCTGGGCGCATTTGGTATAATCGCCTTAGTGAATATTTGTTGAAAGAAGGTTATATAAATGATGTTATTTGTTCATGTATTTTTATAAAGAAAATGACATCATAATTTGTTATACTTGCTGTTTATGTTGATGACATAAATCTTGTTGGAACTCCAGAAGAGCTCCAAAAGGCAATTGAATATCTTAAGAAAGAATTTTAGATGAAAGATCTTGGAAAGACAAAACTTTGTCTTGGTCTGCCAATTCAACCTTTAGCAGACGGGATCTTTATCCATCAATCTGCTTATACATAAAGGGTCTTAAAATGCTTTTACATGGACAAAGCGCATCCATTGAGTACATCAGTGATTGTTTGATCACTTGAAGTGAATAAGGACCCGTTCCGACCTCCAGAAGAGGATGAGGAACTCCTTGGTCCTGAAATACCATATCTCAGTGCAATGGGTGCACTTATGTATCTTGCTAATTCTACAAGTCCCAACATAATATTTTCTGTTAATTTACTATCAAGATATAGCTTTTCTCCTACACGAAAATATTGGAATGGGATTAAGCATATATTATGATATTTAAAGGGAACTCTTGATATGGGTTTATTTTATGCTAACAAAGGTAGTGTAGATCTTGTTGGTTATGCAGATGCAGGTTATTTATCTGATCCTCATAAAGCTCGATCTCAAATCGGGTACGTATTTACATGTGGAGGTACTATCATATCATGGCGCTCCACAAAGCAATCTATTATTGCTACTTCTTCAAATCATGCTGAGATAATAGCTATTCATGAAGCAAGTAGGGAATGCGTATGGTTGAGATCAGTGATTCATTTCATTCGAGAAAAATGTGATTTGGAATGTGATAAAAGATCCACAATTTTATACGAAGACAATGCTGCATGCATAGCCCAATGAAAGGGAGGATTTATAAAAGAGATAGAACGAAGCACATTTCACCAAAATTATTCTACACACTTGATCTTCAGAAAAATGGTGACATTGATGTGTAACAAATCCGTTCAAGTGCCAATCCAGCAGATTTGTTTACTAAATATTTGCCAACTTCAACTTTTGAGAAGATGGTACACAAGATTGGAATGCAGAGACTCAAATATTTGAAACAAGGTTTTCATCAGGGGGAGTGAAATATGCAATGTACTCTTTTTTCCTTACTAAGCTTTTTCCCATAGGGTTTTTCTTGTAAGGTTTTTAATGAGGCATCTAAAAATGCGTATTACTAAATATATGTACTCTTTTTCCTTCACTAGGATTTTTTCCACTAGGTTTTTCCTAGTAAGGTTTTAACGAGGCACATTATCTTTTAATGAACATCCAAGGGGGAGTGTTATGAAAATATTATATTGTGGATGTCCATTCATTACTCCACTATAGATAATCTTCCTGAAGAAGATTATCCATTTAGTACTCTGTTGAAGTTTATCTACAAACAGCTGATGCAGGCAGGTTGCAAGCAGCTCAATGAAATGATTTGCAGCAGCTTTTTATTAAACAGGTAGGTTACAAGCAGCTCATGCAGACAACTTACAAGCAGCTAAAGAAACGCCTTGCAGCTGCTTCCTGAAAAGCCTCGCAGCTGCTTCCTTTCTTCTATAAATAGAGGAGTTTTCAGTTCATTATCTACAGAAGTTTGAAGTTGAATAAAAATTTCAATCTCCCTCTATACTTGTCTTCGATTTATTTACTTTTGAAGTTTTAGCAAATGAACTAAAAAACTTAAGCATGTTTAGTCTGAACTCTTAGCAAATGAACTAAATAACTTAAGCATGTTTAGTCTAAAATTTTAGCAAATGAACTAAATAACTTCAGCATGTTTAGTCTGAAGTTTTAGCAAATGAACTAAATAACTTCAGCATGTTTAGACTGAAATTTCAAATAAAATTCATGACAAAACTGTGGACTGCAGGATAAATAACTTCAGCATGCATTAGCTAAAACTTCAGGACGTGGTGTTGCAATTCCACTGATATATTAGGTAAAATTCACTTACTTTAATATGATTACAAATATAAGTTTATAACCTTACTGTTGTACTGAATAAAGTTTAATGACCCGACACAAAATTAACTCTATTAACAAAAATACTAAAACAATTTTCCCAACGCCTGAAAAAAGAGAACGATAAAAATTACCGAAGAATACAAGTAACGGAATGTGCAACATAAATCACATATATATTGCAAAGGAATTGAATACATACGATAATCCTCAACCGACTTTGGTATAATTGTTGAATTTTCTGTCATTTTCAGACCAAAAAATTAACACTGTACGTACTGTACATTCATGTGTCCACTCAAACATCTAAAACCATAATCATGAAAAAATTAAAATCAAAGATAATACATTAACATGGAACAACTTCATGCTACATTAGCTTCAAGGTGAAACAACTTCATGCAAATGTGATTCTAAAGATGAATCTGGACAAGTTTTTGTTGTTTTATAAAGTTGCTGAGAGGAGAGAAGAAGATCGTTTTATATCTTTTGTTAGAGGTGTAATTGTCATATTATTACGGATTTTTTGTGAGATGGCTACCAAATCAATAACTTTAAAAAATAGGGTACATGTTAAAAGGTGACACAAATATAGGGAACGACCGCAAATCCACCTATTTTATCGAATTAAATTCGATAAAATTTAACTGCTTACACCGCCACTAACCAATGCGAGAGTCTGATCTAGAATTCTAAACTACTAGCCAATTGCCTAGTTTTTGGCAGCATTGACAACCATCCTAGGTGGAAAGATGACCATGAAATCATTTCAATAAGGAACAATACTTTTAAAAAGGTTAATCAAACTTTTTGATTGAAAAACTATGTAAATGGCTTCTTGACACGAATGGTCTAGTCAAAAGGTCAGCAATTATGCTGAGGTACTGATATGACTGGGGTATTAAAACCATGAATAAATACATTTTTGCACCTAGTCATCTGATATTTGAATGATGACAACTACCAAGAAAAGATTTGCATGAAAGAGCAGCCAATGAAAGCAAAATAGTGATACTACTACTTTGTTTCTATGGGGCTGAGTTAAAGTTCTGGAAATCAGCAGTATTTTCACCGACGAGATTTAAAAAACAAAATAAGTAAATACACAAAGAAACTAAAAGAATTTAACATCTAATATATATACATTAAAAAAAATTAACCTTTTATATANTAAGGTCATGAGTTCGAACCGTGGAAACAGCCTCTTACAAAAATACAAGATAAGATCGCGTACAATAGATCCTTGTGGTTTGACCCTTCCCGAACCCGCACATAGCAGGAGCTTAGTGAACCGGACTGCCTTTTATATACAGTATAATTTTCGGCTAAACTCCCTTCCGTCCACCTACGCCCCTTGAATACAGGGGTACTTGTTAACTTTTTCATCCCGAGTAATATAGTACTGAGTATTCTTTCTTCCTTTGGTTGACATACCAAAACACGAGGTAAATCACCAGATTCCACTCAAGGAAAGCAACATTAATTGTGTAAGAGTTCACAAGAACATTAAACAAACAAGTTCACAATAAATTAAGCTGAGGTTTGAAATTTTTGAATGAAATATCAAATTATGGTGGATGTCCACTCCATGATCTTCATCTCAAATGCCTAATGACATATTCAATGACATATTTTTTTTATTTTTCATGTCTATATAAAGGCCTTATAATAGATATGAAAATATACACAATTGAAGAATAAATAAGAATTTTTTCTCCCTTTCTCCATATATCTCTTAACTTAGTTTTCCTTATTCCATATTGTTACTTTGAGTTATATTTTATAACAGAATCAAGTTTAATTCCTTTTCAAACTAATATATTGTTCTGCACCTTTCTCTTTCATTATAGCTAGCAGAATTGTCAATACAAGGCATCTCTTATATTTCAAGAATAGTCAAGTTAAAAGATGGCCTTCCACAAAACTGCTCATCTAATACCACTAAAAGCTCGTTTCCATTTTCGATATTGAAATAATCTAGTTACAAGATCCAATATTTCACTTGAATGTTTGTTTCAGATTACATTCCTAACAAACGTGACTCAGAATAGAAAAGAGTTCAATAACACTATACTCCATTTCTCTATATCAAGGAGTATCGATAATTTTCATGTATAACGGTGTAACAAGACGAAGTTTCTCATCTTGGTCATTTTCTTGCATATCGTGGAAATTATAAAAGTCACATTTAATCAACAACAACAACAAAACTCAGTTTAATCCTACGAGTGGGGTTTAAGGAGGGTAGTATGTATGCAAAGCTTAACCCTACCGGGTAAAGGTAGAGAGGCAAAAAGCCACATTTAATCAAGAATAAAAATATCAAGATCAGTATTACCACGAGAGCTTCAGACTCTTCCTTAGAACTGTTGTATCAAATGCCAAACCCCCTTCATTCATCGTTACCGATCCCCAGAAAACTCTGCAGCAAGTCGCATATAATGTCCAAAGTCACCACATGCTGTCAATTCACGGATATAATGTTTTTGTTAACTTTTTCTTTCTCTCATTTTTTTTTTGTGCATATCTGGAATTATTATATTAACAGGTGTTTATCAGCTTTGTTGACCACATGCGTACTAATCGGCCACCTTCTCCAAGTTTGGTATCACTTATCCTCCTTTTACCTTTTCTTTCAGATTCTGGTGAAGTTGGTTCCACAATTTTCACAGGTGGTTCAGGATTTCCTACTCCTATTGACGCTTCGATAACTTTATTCACCATTTCCAGGACTTCACTCATTTTCGGGCGTGACTTTGAATGTCTGACCAAGCAGCGGTTGGCGACAATAGAGAGCTTCTGAGCTGACCTTGAGATTTTACCTTCAAGCCTTGGGTCTAATATATGCTGAAATTTCTTAGAATCTGATATGTATGGTTTTACCCACTCTAAGAGCTTCTGCTCACTCCTAGGACGATTTCGATCTAATGGACGTCGACCAGTAATCAGCTCATATAGAAAGACCCCATAGCTCCACACATTACTCTTGGACGTGAGACGGCCAGTTTGAACATATTCGGGAGCTGCATATCCCATGGTTCCAACAACCTGATACAATAGATAGATAATATAATATGCTTACGTTGTTTCCAATAATACATAGAATTGATAAAAGATAACAAACGAAATAAAAGCTAGGTTGCTAAAGGGGGAAGAAGAGGCTTGGAAAGCATGCTAGGGACAAGGGGTGGTTCTAGTGTTGAATTTGCTTCTCCTACTCAGTCTTCTTATGTTTAAAGTTAAGGAAAATACACATTCACCACTAAATCTACCGGTTATCATTCAACATATTAGCGGAGGCGGACCCAGGATTTGAAGGTCGTGGGGGAGCTTTTGTACTCAACCAAAATATACTTTGTATATAGGGTATCACTACTAATATATTACTATTTTTTAAAGATATGTACATGTATACATGAAATTTTTACCGATCTTTCCGGGCACCGGTGACCCCTCTCTTTACAACATAGGTCCGCCTCGGAACATATAGGTCGAACACGTGTAGAATTATTTCAAGGACTAATTAACTAGATATATCAAACCTTATCATCTGGTCAAATGACAAAATTGATGAAAAATAGATTCAATTACTTAGACACAGTACCTGGTGCAAGTGAAATATAGAGGTTTTACTGGATTTTGACATAATCCTTTACTAAAGGAGCGTATGTTATTAGGACAATAGTTTGCTAAATAGACACTGGACCGAAAATGAAGTCATGCAAAAGTCAATGTGTCTGGACCCTTTTTTTTGTTAAAAAGTAACAGGAATAAAAAATAAAATTAGTCGGAGGACTATCTTTAGCAAAGAAGTCCAGTGAAGACTTTAGGTAGATTAGAGTTGATCATTTCAAGAAAACGAGTTAGGTCTATGCAGAGGCGGAGCTAGGATGTTAACTTTATGGGTTCTGGATTTAGAACGACGACTTCAGGTACCGATAACTGGGTTCTAAATTCAATATTTGTGCATATTTATTGAATTTTTTAATACAAATACACTGTTTGAGAAAAAGTTATTGGGTTCGGCCAAACCAGTACTCGGGCTCCTAGCTCCACCCCTGGGTCTATATGAAAGTCTGTCAATATCCTAGTATCCTACATTAATTAGAAAAACTAATAAACAAGCAAGAATAAGTGAAAAAGACCAAAGGAAAAGATCTTGTCAGCTAATATGTATTGAGATGCATGCCAAGAAGTTATGGGAGCATACCGCAGTTGACACATGGGTTAGACCCTCAGGAGGTCCCAACCTAGCCAGTCCAAAATCTGATAACTTTGCATTCCATCGCTCGTCCAAGAGAATGTTTGAAGATTTGAAATCTCTGAAGATGATCTACAATATGGAAAAAAAAATAAAAAATAGAGACAGCAGGCTTAAGAACGATAGCTGACTCGAAACATTTACAACTTGATCCAACAAAAACAAGATACAAAGGGGCTGAAGTGCCTTTTGCTAGTTACACATTTACACCTTTTATATAGGTATAAATAGCTAGCGGCAAAAGTACCTGAACGTCCATTTCCTCATGTAAGTAAGTTAAGCCACGAGCAGCATCTTGGGCTATCTTTAACCTCATTGCCCAGGAGAGAGGCGTTTCTGACCTAGCTGACAAATGGTTTTCGACACTTCTGTTAGGCATGTATTCATACACCAAAAGGCGCTGGATTCCTCTCTCATCATCTTCTGCACAGTAGCCAACCAATTTGACGAGGTTTTGGTGTTCAGCCACCCCAAGAACATTGACTTCTGTCACCCACTCTTTGTGGCCCTGTTGTATAGAAGCAAGAATAGTGCATTATTCTACAAATTGGGACTAGACCATAAAAGTTTTTGAATAAAAGAGGATCAATCAATCAACTAACTACAGCTCAATCCCAAACCAGTAGTGTATTCCACTCTTTTTGAGGGTAAATAACAAAAATATAGAGCAGCTCCACAAAACGCCAGTGAAGACAAACAATGATGTTGATCTTGGAGTAAGAAGAGTAGAAGTTCAGTATCACTCTGCTCAAGTCACATATAAGATGAATGCAAGCATAAGAAAATGTGTCTAGACATTAGACATCTTAAAACAAAGGGAAAAATAAACCCTTTTCTATTAGCTATTCATATTTTTGGGTATATCCGTATATGTGAAAGGTCATATTATTGGACAAAACCTCCATTTACAGCAAATTTTCTATTCAAGCAGTAAAAAACAATCCAAAAAGAATACCAGTCAACAGATCACCAATCACCCATCTACACTGAGAAGAAGGATTCAATAGGGCAAACCAAACAACTATCTTTCGAATTATTCCTCAACCATCAGAAGATTTACTCACCAGCGCAATGTAAGCAACCAGTGGTAGTCACCAAACCATATTAATTGGAGCTATCACATGTTGGAAGAAGTAGTTGGACAGTTTTAGTTAACCAACTATAGAGGTTCAGCACTTTGCTGTCCAAAATTCGAAGGACTGGACTCAGCCATCTACAGTTTTTCAAATGTGTAGCTCGCATCTCTGGTCATTCTCTTAGCCATTTAGATGGGGCGAGTACATCACTATACCTCAAAAAGAAAAACAGAGGATATGTACATAAGAAAGGACATGTTTAAAAAAAAAAAAATCACTCAAATCCATGGGCTTTCATGTGCACAGTTTGATCAAACATTTTGATAACATCAAGCCAACTCAATTAGTATGTATAGATGTCGTTGTGGCTCTATAGATGTACTAACATTAAAGTTAAAATATTTCCCTAGCGACTTCGTACTGTAGAGTAGTTTGCTTTGTTCTTTCAAGTTTTTCTGTCCTAAAAATTTTTGCAAAAGTTTTCTAATATAGCTCCGTACCAGGCTTAAATGGCAAGAGAAATGAATGAAGTGTGATCCTACAAAGTAGTTTTACTAACAGCAAAATACCAACACCTAATAAATAGATAAATGTCAAAGTGCAAGATCCTAAGTTTTCAAATACACCTCCGTACGAGGCTTAAATGGTAAGAGAAATGAATGAAGTGTGACCCTACAAAGTACTAACAGCAAAGTACCAGCATCTAATAAATAGAGATATCAAAATGCAAGATCCTAATTTTTCAAATACATAATTATTCGAGCTTAAAAAAAAGAAAGTAGTTACCTGTAATCCTCTCCTACCAAGTTGTTTTACAGCCACATCAATCTTTCTAACTGAATCCTCACCACTCTTTACAGTGGCCTTATATACACATCCAAATCCGCCTTCCCCAATCTTGGTAGTACGGTTGAAATTCTTCGTTGCTGATTTCAATTCTGAGAATGTAAATACCCTGAGATTGGAAGGCCTATCTGACAGGCTTGGAAATTGGCTCCTTCCTCTGGACTCTGTGCTGGTATCTGATGCATTCTGAGAGCAGGACTCAAGGCGCGAATTCCTAAATTCGCGATCGGATAGAACAGAAGAGGTGGATAAAACGGAATTTGAATTCACTGTCTTAGGTTCTTCCTTCTTGTCGCCAACGTAGAACTGAAAACACTTCATGTCCTTCAGTATAGTACTTAAATACGCTCCCTGCAGATTCAAATCCAGAATGGAACCTTAATATCAAGTAACACATGGCACGTATTTCTGTACATCATATTTAGGAATTCTAATTACATGACCATATGCAAAATACATATAAGAATTTAAGGAACAGAAAACGTCACATGCCTTGTTAAAGTAAAAATAAGGACATGATAAAGAAATAGACAAAAATATGATAAATAGGCAGAAGACTGACCAACCAACCAAACTCATGGAAATGCAAAAAGAGAAATCATTAGTAATAAATCAATTCTCTCCTACCAAACCAAATGACAAATGCAGAAGCGGAGCCAGAATTTCAACGACGACTTCAAGTACTAAGTTCTAAATTTAATATTTGCACACATTTAATGAATTTTTTAACACAAATACACTGTTTGAGCAAAAGCTACTGGGTTCGGCCAAACCCGTACTCGGGCTTCTAGCTCCGCTCCCGGACATATGCTCCATGGTTCTCAAATAAAGAAAGAATTGCCCTAAAACCCTTGAAACAGAAACAACCACTCAATCCCAAACTAATTGGTTTGCCTATACGAAATCTCAATAGCCATTATGTTGCATTTGGACCACAAAAATGAACCAACTGCCCCAGACAATACTTTAAGGACCGAATGGCCATAGATTTTGCCAAAATAAATTTGGATTTTATTTGGCAAATACATGTTTGGCCAAAGATTTTGCCAACATTTTGGCAAAATCCCAAATCCCAAAACCAGCTCAATAGCTAGTTTTGGGCCAAAATATCACCATTACATTTTTTAAAAATTACCCCAAACTTTTGTATTTTATGAAAGAGCCCACCATTTATTATTTTGTAATAATGTTGCTTCGTCTTCTCGGTGACCTGATGGTGTATCATGTAATTCATTATAAAAATGATAATTTTGTATCAAATTTATTTATGTTCAGAACTATGGTTTGCGATAATATAATGAATGTTATTGATAATGGTACTGTTGGGTATTTGTGATAGTTTTTAGAACTTGTGGGCATACGTCATGTTTATGTTTTTCCAAAATAAATTTGGAAAATATGTTTTGAAAACTGATGTCCAAACACATTTTCATCTTCAAACCAAACTTCACCCAAATCAGATTTTTCAGAACAAATTTGGGAATTTATGGCCAAACGCTCAGATTTTTCGGAACAAATTTGAGAATTTATGGCCAAACGCTAGCTTAATCATCAATCATCAATACATAGAGCTAAACCAGAAAACTGAAGCATAAATCAAGCAAAATAAAATAACCCAAAATGGTAAAATTACCAGAAATGAAGAAAACCCACCATCTACAGGGCACAAAGATTCAATCTTTTTCAGTCCTTGGATATACCGAAATGCCCAAAATTACAGTTCCTGTGAATTAAAAACCCCATATTCAACTTTATACTTTGACTGTCAATAGACACAAAAAAATGGTACTCAAAATCTTGAAAAAAAAACTCACCTTTAGGCTGCTAAATCTGAAAGAACAGGATAAATTTTATCTGAATATGTTTATAAGTGGCAATATTATTTGGAGTTCAATAAATTTCATAAGGAAAACACAGCTCCAATAAGAGGCAATCTCTGTTCAAAGATGGCAAAGACTTAGAATGACTTGAAAAGTCTTCACACGGCAACATTTGATCAAACAAACTAACAAAACCGTACCCCACATAAGGAAAGTTTTCTCCAAACAGTATGTTCACACTGTATTTTCAAGAAAAGTTTGACACAATTGTTTAAATTTACTCATCAAAATGTATGCTAATAATAATAATAAGATGGAATTTGCACAGTGGTGGGAATGGGACAGTATCACATTTTTTTAGCCCCACATGCAGAGAAAATGTCTTTCTTTTGCACAAGAATGGGTATTTGACTATAGTTGGGGAAAATTTAAAGTTGAAAACCGTATGTAGTGTGATTAACAATATTATATTATTTGGTATTGTTACTTTAAAAACTATTATATTAATGTTTGTTTTGATTGTTAATTTAAATTTTATTATATCGTATTGTTAAATTTATTATTATATAACGGTAAAAAAATTCCTTTTATGTAACGACTATATACGGTACAAACCGGTCTCAAGGAAACCACACGTGTCAAAGATGATCACCAGATACAAATCGGTGGTCGGATAAGAGACAATTCAAGATATGACCGTTACAGAAACGTTACAGAAACTCCAAGATTACTCCGGCCTTTATTACCCTTTATCATTCTTTATCACCTTTTAATTACCTTTTATTATAGCATTAATATCGGTAATTAAGGGAGCATAATTTGTAATCATGCATCCCATAGCTCTAGTGTGATGACCTGATAGGTCATTTTGAGTTTTACCCTTAATTTCCGTGTTCAGAGACCTCGATTAGCTCTGTTAAGCATTTTTTAATTTGCGTGCACAGTCAGTATCTTATTTCGAAAAATTCTTATGGGAAAAACTGAAGGAAATATGAATTTTAGCCTTAAAAATGATTTGAGTTGACTACGGTCAATTTTATGTAAACGGACCCGGATCGGTATTTTGACGATCCTAGTGGGTCTGTATCGTGATTTTGGACTTGGGTGTATGCCCGGAATTGAATTCGAAAGTCCCTAACTTGTTTTGACGTGATTTGTTGAAAACTAGTAAATTGAAGGTTTAAGAAATTCTGAAGTTTGACCGTAGGTTGACTTTATAGTTACCGGATTTGGATTTCGTTTTCGGCACTTGGTATATGTTCATTTTACCATTTAAGACTTGTCTGCAAATTTTGGTACAAAACGAAGTTGATTTGATATGATTCGGATGTTCGGTTGTGAATTTGAAAGTTCTTGAGTTTCTTCGAAAATTTCATGCATGTTGATGTTCGATTCGTAGTTCTAGGTATTATTTTAGTGTTTTGATCGCGCGAGCGAGTTCATATGATATTATTATACTTGCGTGCATGTTTGGTTTGGAGCCCGAGGGGCTCGGGTGAGTTTCGGATAGGCTACGAGTCAATTTTGGACGTAAAGGATCTGCTGGTTCAGTTGTTGTTGATGTATGGTGTTTTGTGATTCGTGAACGCGAAGCATCAGAGGGATTACACTTTGCGAATGCGAGCCTTGGAAAATCGGGAATCATCCCATTTTTCACTATTTTCAAGTTTGAGCTCGGCCTAGAGGCGATTTTGAAGAGGTTTTCATCCTTACTTCATATGTTAGTAGATTTTAACTTTTTTCCTTTCATTTCCATAATACCCATTGATTTTACCTTTAATCTATGCTTTTTTAATGGTAGAAATTAGGAATTTAGGTAGAAATTAGAAATTTTGAGAAATTGAGATTTGGACCTCAAATTGAGATCGGATTTCGAAACTAATCACATAACCGGGCGCGGGGATGAATGGATAATCGGGTTTTAGTTTGAATCTCGGGTTATGACCAAGCGGGCCCGTGATTGACTTTTGTGTATTTTTTTCCAAAAACATTAACGATTGAATCTTTTTCACTTGTGGGTAGTTTCTAAAGCTTATTTTGAGTTATTTCAACTATATTTGGTTAGATTCGATTGGTTTGGAGACTTATTCTAGAGGAAAAGTCACGGTTGATATTGATTTGGTTGCAGAGTGAGGTAAGTATCGTGATTAACCTTGACTTGAGGGATTAGGACTTGTTGATCTATTTGTTATGTGTTTTATGTGTGAGGACAACATATATGTGAAGTGACGAGTACCTATACGTTTTCATTGGTTTAAAGCATGCTGGGGGAAATTATTTCTTTGGATTATATTGTTCCGTTAATTTTGATATCCATGCTTAGGTTAGACTATTACTTCTTCAATTATTCATTTCGTATTTATTGCTTATTTCAAGTTGAAAGGGGGCATGGTTGTGATAACAAATGATAAAAATGAATTAATCCCCACAAGAACTGTCACCGGATGGAGAGTGTGCATGGATTATAGAAAGCTCAACAAAGTTACGTGGAAAGACCATTTTCCGCTTCCATTTCTTGATCAAATGTTGGATAGGTTAGCCGGACGTGCTTATTATTGATTCTTGGATGGATATTTCGGATATAACCAGATTCTTATGGCACCCGAAGACCAAGAGAAGACCACATTCACTTGTCCATATGGCACTTTCACATTCTCGCGGATGCCATTCGGGTTATGCAATGCACTGACAACTTCTCAGCGGTGTATGATGTCCATCTTCACCGATATGGTGGAGGACTTTCTTGAGGTTTTCATGGATGATTTCTCTATCGTGGGGGATTATTTTGAAGAGTGCTTGGATAACTTGGATAAGGTATTGGCACATTGTGAAGAAACTAACTTGGTGCTGAATTGGGAGAAGTGTCACTTTATGGTCAAGGAGGGCATTGTCCTCGGTCACATGATTTCCAAGAATGGTGTTGAGGTTGATAATGCAAAAATTGAAGTGATATCCAAACTCCCTCCCCCTACTTCCATAAAGGGAGTGAGAATCTTTCTAGGTCATGCAGGGTTTTACCTCCGATTCATCAAGGACTTTTCTAAAGTGGTAAACCCCTTGTGCAAACTCTTGGAGAAAGATGCCAAGTTCCTTTTCAATGAAGATTGTATGAATGCATTTGAACTACTCAAGTATAAGTTGACTACCACTCCTATTATCACCGCGCCAAATTGGAGTTTACCATTTGAGCTCATGTATGAAGCAAGCGATGTGGCAGTTGGTGCGGTATTGGGGCAACGAATTAATAAGATCTTTCATCCGGTCTACTATACTAGCAAGACTATGAACGAGGCCCAAGTCAACTATACGGTGATCGAGAAAGAACTCCTAGCCATTGTCTTTGCTATGGAGAAGTTTCGCCCGTACCTAATGGGTACAAAGGTGATTGTTCACACCGACCATGCGCCACTTCGTTATTTGATGAGCAAGAAAGACTCTAAGGCAAGGTTGATGCGGTGAGTGCTTCTATTGCAAAAGTTTGATCTAGATATTCAAGACCGGAAGGGTAGTGAGAATCAAGTGGCGGACCACTTGTCCCGATTGGAGGAGGAGGGGAGGCCACATGATGGCCTTGAAATCAATGATTTATTTCCTGACGAACAACTCCTTTCCATTTCTATGACTGGGATGCCATGGTTTGCCGATGTGGCTAACTATCTTGTGAGTGGAATTGTTCCGAATGAGTTCTCCTCAAACTAAAAAAAGGAAGCTCAAACGGGATTGCCTGGTCTACTATTGGGATGAGTCATATCTCTTCAAAATTTGTACTGATGGTGTTATCCGAAGATGTGTACCAAAAGAAGAACAATTGGGTATTCTTGAAGCTTGCAATTCTTCGCCCTATAGTGATCACCATAGTGGGGAGAGAACTGCTACAAAGGTGCTAACCTGTGGATTCTATTGGCCTACCCTTTATAAGGGCACTAGCTATCTCGTTAAGCGTTGCGATGAATGTCAAAGGGCCGGTGGGATCTCCAAGAAAAATGAGATACCTCTCACCACAATCCTGGAGATTGATATTTTTGATGTTTGGGGCATTGATTTTATGGGTCCGTTTGTGAGCTCATGTGGGAACACCTATATATTGGTAGCTGTGGATTACGTGTACAAATGGGTTGAAGCCGTGGCTTTGCCCAACAATGAAGCTTAGAGTGTGTTAGCTTTCTTGAAGAAGAACATATTCACAAGGTTTGGTACTCCAAGGGCCATCATTAGTGATGGGGTATCACACTTTTGCAACAAAGCTTTTGATACTTTACTCTCCAAGTATGGTGTCACTCACAAAGTGTCGACCCCCTATCATCCTCAAGCAAGTGGACATGTTGAAGTCTCCAACTAGAAGATCAAGAGTATTCTGTCAAACACTGTGAATGCCAACCGGACATATTGGTCAAAGAAACTTGACGATGCTCTTTGGGCTTATAGAACAACTTGCAGAACACCAATTGGTATGTCTCTGTACCGGTTAGTGTTCGGGAAAGCTTGTCAGCTCCCGGTAGAACTTGAGCATAAGGCTATGTGGGTGTTGAAGAAGCTTAACCTTGAGTGGGATGTAGCTGCAAATCTTAGGGTGGAGAAATTGAATGAACTTGATGAGTTTCGGTTCCATGCATACTCCAGTTCGTCCTTGTATAAGGACAAGATGAAGTACCTTCATGACAAGTATATCCGGAACAAAGAATTCAAAGAAGGCGACATTGTTCTTTTATTCAACTCTCGGTTACAGATGTTTCCGAGAAAGCTTAAATCAAAGTGGAGTGGTCCTTTCGAAGTGGTACATGCGACTCCTTTTGGTGCTCTTGATTTGAAAAAAAAGAATGGTGAGATCTTTAGAGTCAATGGGCACCGAGTGAAGCACTACCTTGGTAAGGTTGATGATGGCCACATTGTGGCATTACTCCATTTCAAATGAATGATAGTAACATGCGTCGTGTCGCGATGTTAAATCAGGCGCTTCTTGGGAGGCAACCCATGTATTTTTCTTTCTTTTAATTTTCTTGTTAGATTAGGCATTATTTTGGACTAACTGGTTGTGAAGTGTATGCGGGAATTGGGTGTGCAGTGCAGAAAATTGACAAGACAAAAATTGGCCAAGTGGTGAAATTGTGCGGACCGCACAAGCCCTTCGCAGTCGCACAGTTCTATGTGCGGTCGCACAGCTGAAAGATGGAAAATGCCAACTCTCTGAAGTTTGGCCTGACAAAATTGCTTAAGGATTCGCGACCGTGATCAAAATTTTGCGGACCGTGAATCGCACAGATTGTGCGGCCACAACCATTTTTATGCGGACCGTGTCACTAAATCAG